TACGGCTTCCAAAAAGAAGTACCCAGGTAACATAGCACAGGTGATAACAAGTTCTTAATCTTCCCTTCTGGTTGGCTCGCTCGTGGTTCAATCCAACCTTTTGAACTAATAGACAATGAAGGGAATTCGTACTTACGTAGTAGCATAGGTTACTATAAATTTTAACAATCAGCACATAATGTTTCATGTGTAAATCTGAAGTTATAAAATAATTGATAATTTAAATAAATTGAGGAGTAAGTTTGACGTTTCTCATATACTTTGATGGATCATTATAGCATCTCGTTCTATTCGTAGAAACTTAATAAGTTATAATATATTTATTGTGGTCCTATATAAAAGAAAAAACTTTCGGGTTTACATGTTGCAGTAGCTTAAATTGCTTAGCTCTTTCTGTTAAGCATTCACCATATTTTGGATAACCTGAAGGTTGCCATGTACAATCTTTCCAAGTTTATCAAGTTACCACAAAAGAAAACAATAATGCTGACTAAAATAGAAAATATATCCTCGTACCCATGCTGTTGAGCACGTCATCTGAGGAAATCTAGCTGGCAATTGCACACAGAGCCCCTGTGTCATCTCTGTTTTGAATTTACTATTCCTGTAGTTCATTGTTGCATGTCGACCCTCTGGGTTAAATTTTTTTAAATTTTTTTACCCTGGGCATAATTTAAGCAGATATTGTCCATAGGTAGACTTAGTGTGAGTCTTTCTGAGGGTGAAAGAGCCAAACAATTTAACCCAGGAGGTCTATTTGCAACAATGAAGCTATAGAGGTAGTAAGTTCAAAACAAAACGATACTACATGGGGTCTATGTGCAATTAACCCTCAGATAAATTGACGTCTTTCACCTTCTACTTTAGTTTTGTCGACGCAGCTGGTCTATTTGTTGTAGGTATTTCTGAATCACCTTCTGTATTATGTGAAGTGCAAAGCTGCCATTACATAATACCAATTTCACAGATACTTTCTGGGGGCTTTTTGAAGAGATACGGGAAGGATATCATTAACATTCACCATGGTCTTCTTCCATCATTCAAGGGCAGGAATCCTTCGAAACAGGTCTCTGATTTATAACTATCCTCTTTAACTATTTGGGCTTGCTTGGTTTGTGAACTTTCCATTTGTGGTTAAACTCTTATGTTTGCAATATTCTCATCAGGCCTTTGATGCTGGGGTGAAGTTGATTGGTGCAACAAGTCACTTTGTAACCGAAGAACTTGACACAGGACCAATAATTGAACAGATGGTGAGAAATTACTAGCTTAATTATTAAAATAGCCTTATACTTGTTCCTCCTTTATATCCAATTACCATGTTTCAAATATCCAACTTTTAAATAACATAGACTTACAGGTGATGAGATTCAATGTGCACAGACACTAAAATAACATAAATTAACAAATGGGATGAGACTTCATCAGACACATGCATAAATTCGTAATCTTTCAGAATGATTTTGATGTAGATCCTTCTAATTGGAGTTTTGTGATAGGCATCTACTTTAGAGAAGCACGCTACATGAATTTGTGTCCAAAATTTAAAAAAACTGGCTAACTTTGAATTTTATTACTTCACTCATGTGTCAAATAGCCTAAAATGGTGGTCTTTGAAGAGATGGTGCTCAGGATCAGGTTTTCAGGCAAACAGGTTGGCGGTCGACCGGTCCGGTCGACCGCATTCGTGCACAGGAGTTTCTGGGCATCAGGATTGGTGGCGGTCGACCGACACAGTCGACCGAAGATGGTAGCGGTCGACCGACGCGGTCGACCGCCGAACTCTCTGGTTGTAACCCTAGTTTGTTCCTCTTGATTTCTAATAGTGAAAACTCCCCCCTCCTTGCCCCGTGGACGTAGGCATCTTGCCGAACCACGTAAAACTGGTGTTTGATTGTTTGTGCTGTTGATTTTGATTGGTTGTTTATCTTTCTCGGCGATTGTTTTGGTATCTCGAGGCGCAACAAGTGGTATCAGAGCTCCGGGCTACGCAAGGTGGGATCTTTTCAGTAAAAATCTCGTCTTTTTCAATTTGGATCTATTTCTCGTTTGTTTCCGCATTGGTTTGGTGGTGCTTTGAGATATATGGCTGAAAAAGATAAAAGTGGGGAGGGTTCTTCTGGTGTGAAGGCCGTCCAAAGTTTGAATATACATTTTATAAAAATAGATGTGGAAAAGTTCAACGGCACAAATAATTTTGGACTTTGGCGATGTGAAATCATGGATGCGCTAAATGCGCAAAATTTGGAAGATGCATTGGAGTTGGACGGGAAACCGGCCGACGTCGATGAAAAGGTTTGGAATAAAATGAATAGAACGACGTGTGGTGTGATTAGGTCTTGCCTTACCCAAGACCTTAAATATGATGTGATGAATGAAACTTCGGCAAAGAAGATTTGGGAGGTCCTAGAGGGCAAATATTTGTCCAATTAAAGAATGTGACATCCATTAGTGATCACATGAACCACTACACGAAGCTACTTGCAGATTTGGCGAATGTAGATGTCATTGTTGAAGACGAGGACAAGGCATTGTTGTTATTGAGTTCCTTGCCCGACGAGGAATATGAGACATTCGTCCTCACTCTTATTAATGGGAAGGCATCTATTTCGTATAGTGAGGTCACCGCAGCCCTTGTGAACTATCAACTTCGAAAGAAGGACAAGAAGACTTCCATCGAGCCGGTTGCAGGTGCATTGGTTGCAAGAGCTAGAAGTCCAAACCGTGGAAGAAGGTCGCAGTCTAGAGGGGGGCATCCTGCAGTTGGTAAGAATCAGTGTGCCTTTTGTAGAGAGGATGGACATTGGAAAGCCGAATGCCCAAAATTGCAAGCTGTGAAGAATAAAGGGAAAGCTATTCAAGCTTCAGAGGTAAATGTTGCCAAGGCTAGTGGCGATGTTTCAGATTCAGATTCTTCGGGCTATTCATGCCCAGCTCTCCCGTCAGTTGATGTTGCCGACTCCATCGAGTGGATGTTGGATTCTGGTGCTACTTACCACATATGCCCTAGAAGGGATTGGTTCTCCAGCTTTCAGGAGTTGGAAAGAGGGGATGCTGTTCTCATGGGTAATGATCACAGATGCCCTATTGGTGGTATTGGTACTGTTCGGATTCGGATGAGTGACGGGATGATCCGGCTATAGGGTGACATTGGCGGATTCTCGCTTGAAGGTCACATCGGGGTCCATGATTGTGATGAAGGGAGTCAGACGGAGTAACTTGTATTATCTGCTTGGGAGCACGGTAGTTGATAGAGCGCTGACTACTTCTATGGCTAGACTGTGGCATTGTTTGGTGCTGGGATATATTGTTGATTATACCGTACACAGATTGTTGAAGAGTGCTATGACCTGCAGATTGAAGTCCTATGAGCACATTAGGATGAGCGAGAAGACCGAGGTGGAGTTCAGTACTTCTATCCACCGATCGAGGGGTCTTATTGGAGGTGTTCAGTCAGGCATTAGGGGGCTTTCCGAGGAGGCATCATCGGGAGGTAATCGTTATTTTGTTTCCTATGTTGGGGATTGTACTAGGCATATTTGGGTTGCAACCAAGTCCCATTGGTATAAAGACCTAGTAGTCCGCAACAGTTGGAGGAGGTGTATGGGCAGAAAGGTTATCAGTCGTACTTGTTCTAGTAGGAGTCCTTTCTTGCATTAGTGCCGAGCTCATGGCAGTTGGAGACACTTCAGAGGAGAGGAGACAGTGGGGCGACGTGATGAGATGAAGGATTCAGTGAGCCGTTCTTTTCTGGAGGAGGATCGGTATTGGTTGTCGAGCAGTGGATCTGGTATTCAGGCTTCGACAGGTTTGGGTCATCTTATGAGGTTGCCGACTGCTGCGTATAGAGTTGTTAGATCTGGTGGAGCTGCTTCAGATTTTGGTTGGCGTCGGATATTGGGCTACCCAGCACTTGGTCACATCGCTGATGTGAGATTGGATCCGATTGCGCATTTGGGATTCAGGAGTTCATTCGGCTATCAGTGGGGAGCTTCTGAGTTTGGTCTGAGCAGGTTTGTCACTTTGGACTCTCGGCAGGTGGAGAGTATTGATCAGGTCAGAGGGATATCGCAGCGGGTGGAGGTTGATGCTACTCCACATTGGGTGAGGATTTCCTCACGTACTCCAGGTCATTCTGCATTGGTTGGGATTCCAGCTGAGGTGGCACAGCGTGGGAGTCATTTATTTATGGATGCAGATGATGAGGTAGTTGATTTGGATGCAGCTGGTGGATATGTTTTGGATACGGCCATTGTTACATCTCAGGTGGAGGTGTTGGACTGTTTTCAGATTGGGGTCGTTGATGATGCTATCAGCCGCAGGTTGGATTGGGGGCCTTTGGAGGCCCATATGGTGAACTACGTGAAGGCTTGATTCCTTGGACAAGAGGATACGTAGGCAGTCTTTATGATGCAGCCGATTTGGTGAGCGACATCGACATTTGGGGTGAGTGTTTGCACTCCCATTTGGGTCTCGGCAAGTGAGGCATTTGAGATGAGCTCAGGATTCATGTTGTCAGGGTGGCGGTCGACCGGCCCGGTCGACCGCATTCGTGCACAAGGCTTCCTGTGCGTCTGGAAGGAGATCGGTCGACCGGTGCGGTCGACCGACGGTTCTCTGGAGTTTGGGTTTTCTACTGAGAGCTGGTCGGTCGACCGGGCCGGTCGACCGGAATTGATCGCGGTCGACCGGTCCGGTCGACCGACGCTGTTTTGGGCTGGGCTGCCTGTTTTCAGACCCGCTTCGTTTTGGGTTTGTATAAATACCCTTTGGGTGTTTTTTAGGGTTAAGAGCAAGGACGAATTTGAGCAGATTGAGAGAGTTTTCTTTGGGCTTCTATTCTAGGAGCAATTGGAGAGATTGAGAGTTGATTGTTGAGGGTTTATGAGAGATTTGTAACCCTAGTTTGTTCCTCTTGATTTCTAATAGTGAAAACTCCCCCCTCCTTGCCCCGTGGACGTAGGCATCTTGCCGAACCACGTAAAACTGGTGTTTGATTGTTTGTGCTGTTGATTTTGATTGGTTGTTTATCTTTCTCGGTGATTGTTTTGGTATCTCGAGGCGCAACAGTCTTGAAGTAGCGAGTTTCAGATATACGGTTAGTAATTAAACATCCAAGCCTCTTGGATCATAACCTACCTTAAACACGTACTGTCCTTCTGCACCAATTTTCGTTGGGCTTGAGTCACTTCTAAAACCCCTGATGATCACCAATCTCTCTTTATATATGATGACCTTTTGCATGTATTTCCAATTTGCATAATTGTCTGTGAGTGCGAGCACATTTTTTTCTCCCCTTTGGAGAATGCAATTATTTGGTTTCAGGTGGAAGAAGTTGATCATGCCTCATGGTCAAAGGCCAAATTCAACCATTGAATGACCAGTTAACACTGAAAAATGGAAGTAAACTCACAAAGATGTGCATCCAAAACTTTGTATCTCAATTTCAGTCATCATCTTCTATCTCAAATTCACACATGTACAGTAACTGTAGTTTATCGAGCTACTTATACTGCATCGAAAAATGTATTGTTTAAAATAATAAAAAAACCCATGAACACACGAAAAAAAAAATTACAAATTAGGGTGGGGGGAACCTTGAACTTGCTTTACTCAAATACCCTGACGATAGTGAGTTAAGTTGTCACTTGCTTTGGTACTATTTGAATAATTTGCTACTACGCACGTATATATCTGCTATATTACATGCACTACCCCTCTCTTATTGCCAATGATAGCTAGACCTTTTACTCTTCACATTAACGCTTTTTATGAATTTTTCCAATACTCCATGGTGTAGCTTTGTATCATTTTGAAAGTCCAGAGGGTCTTCTCTAACTCTTCTGTGGGTTTTGTGAAGTTTACCCTTAAGAATACGCAGTACTGTTGACTGTCTTGACATCTGCATACTTCAACCATAAGCCCGTGATTCTATGTTTCAGGTTGAGAGAGTATCTCACAGGGATAATCTGCAAAGTTTTGTGCTGAAGTCAGAGAGCCTCGAGAAACAGTGTTTAACGCAAGCAATAAAGTCATACTGTGAGCTCCGAGTTCTGCCTTACCATTCGAACAAGACTGTTGTATTTTGAATACGGTTCTTGCATACATCAACGTACAGGAATAAGTTTCGCTCTTGTTATTGGCTCTTAAACCTATGATCTTCCCTCAAATACGATCACGGGGGGTATTTTATTGAAAAACTAACAGAAAAACTAATTGCAGTAATCCTTGTCATTTGAGGGACTGATTAGCAATTTCAATGACTTGAAAAACTAATACCAAATTATGGAATATTTAAGGGCCCAATATCTGGAAAATCCATCGCTATTTATATCCCGGCACTGCAACTCTTGACTGAAGGCTTAATATTTAAAACAACATATAAAAATTAGGGAGCCTAATAACAATTTTAGTTATTAATTAAGGGATTGATTTTGAAACAACTCATAAGAATTAAGGACTTGCTATCAGGTCCCTTTAAGAATGAAGAATTATTGAGGGACAGAGGAAAAGGTAAGTCCATGTTATACAAAGAATAAGAGCAACTTATTAAGCCTCAAATACTGTTTTTGATAGTAGCTTTTCTGATTAACTACATTACTGAAAAAATAACCGTATTTTATTCGGTATTTTATTTGAGATTAATAGGGGCATCATAATGTCATGATATGATGGAGAGCATTCTCTCACATACAATAATATGGTTGAATCTTAGGTATGTGTGATTTACGAGGGTTTATTATTTATTTTACCGCGATTCAACTAGGGCATTTTATATGAAAGAATTCCCTTGTAATGATTGTATGACAATGACAAGAATACTTAGTATTCTCATTTTTCCTTCCCTAAACATTTTACAATATTCACTATCTTGCAAGACAAAAATATATCTCCTAATACAGTAAAAAAAAAGCTACATTGTAATCATCTAATTTACATCTTGACCCCTTGACCTAGTCTCTTCACTGAAGGACTGGCGAACATGGCGAAGAACAGCTCAGGAAAACTGTCAGGGAGTTGGTTGGTCAACCGCGAGTCCACTACGGTCGATCGGAAACGTGCACGAGGTTCAGGAGGATTTCTGGATGTGAGGCGGTCGACCGCACGAACCCTATAATGGATTTTGGTCTCAAGATGAGATTCGGTCGACCGTCGCGGTTGACCGTGAGGACCCTGTAGGCGTTTTTGCTTTCTGTCGTGAGGGTGCGGTCGACCGCTTAGCGGTTCTAAGTTGGGTTATAGGTTTTGACCCGGTTCGTTTTTGAGTTGATATATAAGCCTAATCCTAATTAATTAGGGCAAAGTAAGGACGTTTTGAGCAGTCTTTGAAGAGGGGATTGCTGCATTCAATTATGGGAGAGTTGTAAGAGATCTAGTTTTAGGGTTTATTTATTGAGATTTGTAACCTTATTTGTATTCTCTTGATTTCTAATAGTAAGAACTCCCCCCTCCTTGTCCCGTGGATGTAGGCAACTTGCCGAACCACGTAAAATTCGTTTTTCTTGCTGTGGTATTGTGTTTGGCTTATTGGTTGTGATTTATCTCTTGATTCGTTTTTCTTTTACAGACCTCCATTGGTGGAGGAAGGACTGTCGTTTCGGAGTCGGAGGAAGACGAGGAGGACCCCCCATCTTTGGAAACTCCTCTCCGTCCAGTGCTCTGGACTCCTAAAGATCGAGGTGACACCGGAGCTTCTCAAGGTCTCCAACCTTGGGATCACTAAGAGCCCTTGGCTCCAACACGTTCTCCTGCACTTCAGGCCAACCTGAGCAGGACAACATATTGTCGGCACCAAATACCCAGACGAAGAACCTCTTCCATTCTTCGTCCAGCTCTAGGAGGTCGGAGTCCAAGAGGAAATCATCCGACAATGAAAAAAATAGTGGGGGTCTCCCTCAGCAGACCCCACACTAACCGCGTGCCCAAACAAACTGATGTTGGGCACCACTTCCGCCTCGGAGCAGGCGTCTATAAACGGCATCAATATATAAATGGCATGCAGATGTAATTGGCAGGGGGAAACCCCCAAAGCTATAAAAACCTCCCTTACGAAGGGATGCAACGGCAGGAGCAATCCACATTGCAGATGCGCCAGATAGAGAGGCACCCGATCCTGCCCATGCATATGCACCGGAGTAAGACTATCTGATGCCCCTATTGTCATCGCACGAGAAATATCATACTCGTCATGCAACCAGGTTACCTAGTCCAAAGTCATTCTCAACCTAGACAAAAATAAGACCATACGTTTTTTCTCGCAGTCATTCTGAGGAAAAGCCATAGTAAAATCTCTTAGGAGAAAGGAAGAATCAATGAGGAGAAATGTTCCTAATGTAGAACATTCTTTCAAAACAGCACCATGAATTATTTATAAGCCTCCGAAGAAGCATGCAGAAGAATCCAAGAGGCTCAATCTTGGAGTAACTAAGGAAGATCTGTTTTGAAAATCAGAAATGAATCACTCGAAAATACCATCTGCCGCTCGTAACTCACGTCAATCAATTGGCAAGTAAATGTGCCATTCACTCTACCCACGATGCCTCATTTCCTCTAAAAAAGTGGTTCCTGATGCCAACAACATTAACCTACAGAAGATTGGCAGTTAGCAAGTTCTACGCCACGTCTTCAGCCACGATCAGCTGGCTAAAAAATCTCAACACCCTGAGCAAACTCATATCCATTTCACTCGGACCCGACTAAAGTCAAATCCAAATAAAAAGGGCCAGCTGTTATGGTAATTTACCATCTAAAGATGAAGATGTCGAGAGATTGTCTGCATAGGCTTAAAAGGGTATGGTCCAAACTAGCTTAGACGCCCAAAAACCCAGCTAAGGTCAAGTCTATCGGCCAGCCGATCAGACGAGTCATCTTTCGACCAAGGGTCATCATGACCGACTCAAAATACGGTATAAGTCGGTCCCTCGTAATTAAGATGACTCCTCGAGCAAACGTCTCGACCATACACTCGACCCAAAGCTCACTCAACTATCGGGTCGACAAATCATAATGATGACTCACAAATCAACCCTCCTCGACTAAGGGGATAAGATCCGACCAAGCTCGCTTCAGATGTTAATCGACACAACAACATTGATCAGTCCCATCGAGATCTTCGTTCTGATAAATCCCATGCATAAGCCGCTTATTCTCCTCACAAGTCACTTCCCAGAGATCGCCATGATGCTCTCCTAGGCTCGAATGGCTTCCCCTCCAATCACCAGTCGCCATCTGGAGGGGGAATGACGACCAAGTAGCTGGCCTATCCTCTGCCCTGCTTCATCTATTAAATCCAGGATACTGAGAAGATATTTCTCTCCTGTACCCGAATGACTTCCCTTCCAATCGCCAGTCGACATCTGGAAGGAGAAGAATGACTCAGCAACCCGTCTGTTCACCCCTCAACCGCCTCTTATGCATAGTCAAAGCCAAGGGTCAAACTCTCAGAGGCTGTGGACTATAAAAGGAGGGGGAAAAGGTAAAAGAGGGGAGGTGATTATTTTTCTTCTCTATTATTTTCATCACAAAGTTCTAAACTTACCTCGGCTAAAAAAGAACGACTAACTCTAAAAGAGTACCCTCTGAGAACCTCAACGGCTTAGGGACTCTCCCTCAAACCCCACTCAAGCTCACTAGCTGACTTGCCCGTCAGAGATACCACGGGGAAATAAGCCTTGTCCTCCTACGGGTTTTTTTTCTTATTTGGACAGGAGGATCAGGAATCCCAGCCTAAGGATTGGGCATAAAGTCGGAGGAGGAGCCGGTTCCATCTCTCATCCGCTCCTCTTCGCCGCTAACGCGGAGACCAGAACTGCAACCCCATCGACTGTGTGTTCACGAACATCAACAGTTTGGCGCCCACTGTGGGGCCATCTTTCTTCTCTGAGAAGAAATGCCTAACTCTAAGCAGGGGCCTGATCTTGTCCATCCTTAAAGAACATTGGAATTGCACTATTCAAGCTAAACAAAGCCTGGAGTTGTATCATTCAAGCTAAGGAGGATTAGCCTATGGCTATGAGGAGCCAACATAGGCGTAGCACTCGAGGGCTCCAATAGCTTTCTGAGGAGTATTTGCCAAGTAGAACCCCAAAAGTCCTCTTAGAAAATACATACCACTATGGTGTTTGTCTGGCTTGAAAATGAAGCACAAGCTTCTTATCGCCGCCGTAGATAAAAACCCCACAGCCTGGACAGCCAAGAAGCCTAGGGTTGGATCGCAAACAGAATCCCAAGGGTTATGATCAGATCCAGTATCGCTCAAGCTCCCATCAGTAATAGCTCACACGAACAAGGAGCAACGATTGAGTCTGTGACCGGCTCCTCGGACCATCACCACCTTCAAAGGAGAGTCCTTCCTCACTAAAGATGAGATTGCGGAAAAAATTCGGGGAGCCATCCGACGACTATCTATTCAGGAAATCCGGCTCTAGCCCCCAGCAGCTATTCGAACCACCAAAGTCAAAGGAAGAACTGGTGATCGAAGCATGCGACTTGTATTCTCCTTACAAAAAGAAGGCTCCTCCATTTACAGGATGGTCCGGTCGTCGACACTCCTGGAATCCCTAAGGGGAAACCATGATCCCATCAAATTCCAGGAGACAAAGCGTCAACATAGGGGTTTCATCAAAAAGAAGCGCCCCATCACAAAAGTTGCCTGGGCCTCCCCCTGCTGAGCATCATCTTCCAAAAGCTCAATCAGTAGGACTCTGGCCATACGGCATAACCGGCGGTGGACAAGTAAGATCTGTTGAAAATCCCTATGTCCACCGTCGACCAGTAAGGACCTCAGCAAAAACTCAAAGTTCAGAAAGGTCCTTGGCTGATGAAATGGCAAATATGTCGACAGTTCAACGACATCTGAAGCCAAACAGCTCACCCTCGAGAGGAAAAGCAGTCCCCGATTCTGGGTGTTCCTCAATTTGGCAACAAAGACAGCTAATATAGCAACAACTTGCTCTCATCAAAACAAGTCTGTTCAAAGATGACACGAGACAACCAAGAAAGCTCCGTCTCAGTGACCCTATCCCTAACAGAAAGCCATCTCCAAAATGCATCTGAGCAAAGAAACAAGATTTCGACATCACCAGAGCAATGAGTGTGAGTGAGCTATACTCTATTATGTATAAATTTCAAACAATCAATAAAAATGTCAAATAAAAAGAAAGACATCAAAGACCTAGTCGTCTAGGCAACGACTCCTCAGTCGGTATAAAGACCTTGGTAC